ACATTGGCAGAGGTGAGGGGGTGGGGGCGGGGGGGGGGCTGTGACCGTATTCCCCTTGCAGCATCATGCGTCTTTATTTATTTACCTGCTCTTTGTATGTATCGTGGATGGGAGGCAGCGTGGGCATGTGGAGGTGAGATGGGAGTGGGGGATGAGGGGGGTGAAGCTGTTTGGTTGGGAGATGATTTTTTTTTTTTTTTTTAACAAAAAGCAGAAATTATTTAAAGATTATTTTAAACCACAATTTTCATGGTGATTGTTGTCCAGAGTGGGGGATGAGGGGGGTGAAGCTGTTTGGTTGGGAGATGATTTTTTTTTTTTTTTTTAACAAAAAGCAGAAATTATTTAAAGATTATTTTAAAACACAATTTTCATGGTGATTGTTGTCCAGGGCAAAGTAAGAGAGTGCAAGCATGGCCGACTGTAGGTATGTTTTTGTCTCTTCACTGGGTGTACCTTTCCTGATTGGGGACATAGACCAATAAATCCATCGTCTCCCAGGCAGGCAGGCCGAGCTCTGGTGCAGGGAGTCAGGCAGGGATTGCAGGTGCTCGCTGCCCATCATAAACAGGGCACGCAGCGCTAGAGGGCATCTTGTGCTTCTCCAAGAGCAAGATTTAGCCACCCCAGTGCTTCCGACAGTAAGGGTGAGCTCTCCCTCCCCACTCCCATGTACCCAGGAAGGTGGGCAGCCAGAGTCTGTATGAGTGACCCAGCCTATATGGGACAAAGCTGTCATTTGAGCCACCTGGAAACGAAGTCTAGTGGGGCAGGATGTGGGAGGGACAACCACTGTGGGACTGCCAGGAACACCTCTCCATCCCAGTCTGGGCCCATCATGCCAGTGCCTGGCCATGCTGGGACACCCTTCCCCACCATCTCCATCACTATAAAACCCGCTAACCCAGTGCTTCTGGAGAAGGTGGACCTCTACCCTGTACACTGGGTTTCCTATGTCACTAGTGCTCATCACTGCTGGCTTTGTCCTTTCGCCCCTTGCCAGCCCTGTCCCCCTCCACCCCATTCCCATGTCAGCAAAAGGAAAGACCACCAGCCAGCATCCCACATACCTGCCCCACCCAAGCACCCCTCTGTGCACCCCTTGCCCCATCTCAAAGCTGCCCTGCCATGGTCTCCCCCCCGGGACCACAGTCCCCCAGGACTTCTGCTGGACCCCACAGTGTGGCAAGTGCAGAGCAATTCGGCAGCAGACTGTCAGCAAGGGCCCTTATCACCACAGCTAATTTAAGAGCTCTGTGAGGTGGCTGAGCTAATTTAATTAGGTTCTTATTACAGAGAAGCACAAATTGGTCCCTGCGGGGGCCACGGGGTCAGGCTTTTGAGAGGCACTTCATGGAGTGAAATTTCAATCAGGCTGCCATTGCAGGCCTGGTGTGGTGGGAGCTGGAGGGACGGGATGCACAGTGAGAGGATGTGCCCTTTGAGGTGCTCTGTGGTGCTGTGGGCAACCCATTTCCATGCCCAGGTCTTTAGGGTATACTTCAGTGCGTATGGGGAACAGCTCGTTGCCCCATTAGGAGGATGCTGCAGAGTATTGGGGGGCTGCTTTTTGGTGGAAGCAGGGAAAGCTAGAGGTCCTGGCTCTGGGCTGTCCCCAGGACAGCAAAAGGAAGAGGGAACACCCATAAAAAAGATTTTGGTGTCTTTCTGAAGCCACATTAACTCCTCCCCTAGGCCCATAAATCCCGATGGTAAGAATGGTAAGGACAAAATCAAGTCCAGCTGACAGACTTAATGAGGGGGGGTGTCTTCCTTCTCTGGATGTCCCCCTCTTTCTTGCTACTCAGCCCCAGGAGAACCGGGGCAGCCCCTAGGCTGCAGGTGCCCATGAGCAGTGGGCACCTGAAGCAGCCCCATCTCCCAGGGTCCCAGTCCTGAGCGGATGGGTCCTACCGGGGTTCTGGCTGGGTGATGATGGATGGAGATGCTGGTGGGTGGCCGGCAGACGGGCCCGGCTGGAGGGTACCACAATGGATGTCTCTCCATCAATTTATCCTCATTACCATGTCAATGGTGGGCGGGAGGGAGAGGAAGGGCATGTGGCGCTGGAGAAACCCCCCACATGCTCCCATCTGGGGTAGCATGTCCTCTCCGCCATCCCTCCAGCCCTGTCTGAGCATGTTAAACCAGCGCAAACACACCCCCGGCCCCAAATTCAGGGGCGGGAGAGGTACCACCCCCTATTCAGAGCCTTGAAAAGGCTACAGGGTCCGGCGCTGTTAACAACGGGGGACACTTGTTCTCGTCCCCGCCTCTCCCGTCTGTCCCTCACTCCGTGGCCTTCTGCCGTGGCAGCGCCCGCCCCGAAAGCACCTCCTCTTTGTGGGGAACTGCACCTCAGCGCGACGCGGGCAGGAAGCAACGGCGGGGTGGCATCCTGCGGGACTCCAAGGCTAAACATTCCCCGCGATGCAGGGAATATCCCCGGGAAAAGAGGAGGTTTGTGCCCATCACCCAGGTGCTCTGGGTCTAACCAGATCCCCATGGCCTGGGACGTGACGGCGGTATGGAACACCCCGAGGGATCTGGG